AATCGGGTTGGGGTTTGGTGTTTCCACCGCAAAAACGCTCACCCCAACCCGATTCTGACCCGACTCTAGCCCGACTCTGACCCTCGGTGGAAACGTAGTCAGTGATGGACGTCCTCGAGTTTGGGTGCTTCCCAGCAAGAGACGCAGATCGACGCGGTGTGACACAGAATCATTTCGCTCTTGTCTAGCAACGAGGATAAAACGCGATTCTTTGTGTTACGCAGCGTCGCCTGTGCACATTGCCGGAAAGCACCACCCTTTGTCGTCAAAATTCCTACGCATTTTTCAGCAACCGTTGAGGTAAGCGGCTTGTGGCGAGAGGATTCGAGTGCTGCTTGGAAGAGAAGGGAAAAATTACGTCTATCGAGTGACGTTCAATTTTATTACGACGTATCCAAAACGGAAATAGTTTCCCTCGCACCTGCGGTTCTAGAACCGCTACGCTTATACTTGGCGCGAGACGCTACCGTGTCTCGCGACGGAGATAAAATGTGTGTTTCCTCTGATGGTAAGTAAGTAAAAGGAGGACCTCAGGCAGACGGACGTTCCAATGCTTGGAACGCGTTGAACAATTATTACTAGAAATGCTGGTGTTCAGCGATAATTGTAAAAATATACAATCAAAGGTGTGATTGTCTTATCGTTCGCGGCATAAGGATTATCGTCGAATGCAACTTGCATCCATTTCTGTCCAGATCCAGTAGAGTCCGAGTTCGCACATTCGTTCGCGTTCAATCAATACAGGGTGTTTTCCAGCAATGTACACAGGCGACGCTGCGTGACACAATGAATCGTTTTGTCTTCGTTGTTTGCCATTGCTGGACAAGAGTGAAATGATTCTCTGTATTACACCGTGTCAATCTGTCTCTTCCTTGGAAAGAACCCATAGTTAATTGAACAGCGTGTGCGACCTCTCGTCGCTAGAGGGCGACGTATGCTTCGCGCAGATTCGCTCGCTCCCCAGATAGCACAAGACACTCCTATGAACATTTTAAGAATATTTGGAATATTCCATAGGTCATTGTTATAAATTTATCTTATGTTCGCGGAACAATCGACTGGCACTACTATAAATCTTTTTCGAATGTGAATAGAATAATCTATTCGAATGTAGCGTGTCGGTTGTATATGGTGTGATCACAGGTTTCACTGCCTTTTGCATAAGTGTATTGCACAATAAACAATGTGCAATACATAAACTCGATGAATATTAAAAAATTATTCTGAACGAATATTCCAAAGACATTCTCGACGAGTGTTTAAAAAATGTTCTTTGTTATGAATGTACGATTTCTAATTGTAATAATCTATACATATTTATAGAATATTCGATTGGAATATTCTCAAGTTGAGAATATTTGCACTCCAGAAGAATATTCATAGAACTATGTGTGCTATCTGGGTCCAATTTTGTCAAGTGTGGGCAAGTAATATTTGCCATTAATTTTATTTTGTACAACACTACAACGATATACGTACGTGAAACGTTAAAGAACATATTTATTTGTCTTGATATACATATAATAATGATTGACAAAAACGCACTTTTACAATAAAGAACTTGCAAAATTAAGGGAAGGGGGAAGGTAGAGCAGAGAAAAGTGTATGTCATTTATTTAGAATCAAATGCACGCTTATATTATAAATATCGGTATAAATATTAAATTAATTTCTCTCTTTATTCTTCATTTCATTGCAAAGAAATGATTCCTTATCGCGATTTAGAATAATGCCTCTCGTTCTCGGCCACGTCGTAAATTGCATTGAGCTTGCGAATGATGCTTTTCGTTCTGTCGTAAACCAGGTTGTCCATGTCGCTCAAAATATTCACCAACTCGATTATCTTTTCAATTCCACGGTTTATCCTTTCGGTTCTCTCAACGTCATCAACATCGGATCCTTCCGCGACGTTTACTCGGAATCGTGATCCCTTCGGTGAACCCGTGGATAATTTTTCAGGCTTAGTCTCTCCCGAAAGTGCGACAGCGTTTGCAAGTGATATCTGCTTGGCAAGGTTCTTAAATTAAAACGAGATCTTTGTCGAAGCATTAGCTTTCCGACTAAATTAAATTGAAACCATTGGCGCTTTACATCATATACATATATGTATAGTCTCTACTTGGTCTTACCATACACATAACAGAAACTGAGAGAAAGAATATATCCATTTTGATCTGCCCCTCTTTTCGTTTTTACAGAAACAGTAAAACTCGATCAAAATAATAACGTACTATCGTTGATTCGATGTCGATGTCGATGCCGACTGACAATAAGACGATTCGACCCGATTCCCCATCCTTTTATTGCATTTTTAGTGCACATTCGGCAATATTGTGTAGGCGGACGGAATACACAATTTTTTATACTTCATTTATCATCTTGTTGCGCTAAAATTAATTTGAATACACGTAGAAAATCTCTAATAGATGTATCGATAGAAAGTAACGGCCATTCTCTAATTCTCTCTATCGTATCTCTATGAATCGTTTTAATGAAATTTTAATAAAAGCCAATTAAAATTGATACGTTTGATTTATAGGTCACCGTGGCGAATTCCTCTCGTAATAAGTGGGTTTGGACTGACGCTTGCGATACGAAACCAAAGCGGAATCCGCTGATCAGGTGCAATTGTACTCACCTTGTCGTAAGTAAAGAGAAATTATTTTCCAGTTGACCGACAATGACTCTTGGCAGATGCAAGATTTCTTATTCTACATATAATCTCTTTACTCATTTCTCTACTTTCTTTTTCAACTAAAGCTAGCAATTGTAACGTAAGGAATTTTGTTGAAGATTAAGCCACCAGTTAATTTTTTTATGCGTTCTCTCGAAGCGACATTAAAATTGTTATAAATAATTCAAAGCCAATATTTAATATCTATGATATTATTATGTGAAGCAAACTTTAGTTTAGTTTTTACCTTGAAAAGTGGATTTCGTCAATTTCAAAGCAGATATCTATAATTAGATTAAATCGCACTTTTTCAACTAAAGCTAACAATCATAGCGTAAGGAATTTTGTTGAAAATTAATCCACCAGTTAATTTGTTTTAAACGTTCTCTTGAAGCAACATTAAAATTGTTATAAATAATTCAAAGTCAATATTTAATATCTATGATATTATTATGTGAAGCAAACTTTAGTTTAGTTTTACCTTTAAAAGTGGATTTCGTCAATTTCAAAGCAGATATCTATAATTAGATCAAATCGCACTTTTTCAACTAAAGCTAACAATCATAGCGTAAGGAATTTTGTTGAAGATTAAGCCACCAGTTGATTTGTTTAAACGTTTTGTTTTAACGTTCTCTTGAAGCAACCTTAAAATTGTTATAAATAATTCAAAGCCAATATCTAATATCTATGATATTATTATGTGAAGCAAACTTTAGTTCAGTTTTCACTTTGAAAAGTGGATTTTGACAATTTCAAAGCAGTTATCTATAATTAGATTAAATCGCACTTTTTCAACTAAAGCTAACAATCATAGCGTAAGGAATTTTGTTGAAGATTAAGCCACCAGTTGATTTGTTTTAAACGTTCTCTTGAAGCAACCTTAAAATTGTTATAAATAATTCAAAGCCAATATCTAATATCTATGATATTATTATGTGAAGCAAACTTTAGTTCAGTTTTCACTTTGAAAAGTGGATTTTGACAATTTCAAAGCAGATATCTACAATTAGATTAAATCGCACGGAGTGACGATTGAAACGCGACACTGGCAATGCGTGTCGATTATCGTTGGGATGCGGAAAAGAATTTTGCTCCTCGACATCGTAATAAGATCTGTGTATGTATATATGTCGATTCCCAGGCGTCCGCAAATATTTATATGTTTGCAGAAAACACGATAAGAATATCACGATGCGACGGCAATCGTCAACGGAAAACCATTTTTATTTTCAATTTATTCTCACGTTCGCGTCTTTCACGTAGCAAAGTGAATCCCTTGGATTTACAAGTCACTTGCAAATATCAGTTTGAGCGAACATGAATTCCCGTTTCGCACAATATCGCATTTGCTACCACGTCTCGCTACCAATATTACGTCATTCTATATATATTGTAAGAAATATAGAAATTTTGCGAGTACGTAAATTTCCAATATAAATTTCTCTTTGTTATTTCATCGCGTGTGAGTAACAAACTGGGAAGTATTTCTTTATCTCCTATTCTTAATTGTTACTTGCGTACAACGCATACATGTATAATATGCCATGATCAAATTGAAAGGAAACAGGAATGACTCGTCGAGCAAAAGGAAAAGCGAATAGCGATTCCAAGTGACTTGAAATTAGCGAGGCCGCATGTAAGATCTATAATGCGCGATGTAGGGTGAACGGGGTAAGGTTCAGAGAAATGAACAAAGGGCACAAACGATCAAGTACTTTTTTTTTTATTAACAATCGTTTGTCAGCTGTCGAGCACGTTTGAATCGTGTATGTATTTCTGTTGCAAGATTACTTGATATGCGGATCGGCTGACGCAAAGTTGCATCTCTCCGTACAGATTTGCTCAAGATGCTTCGCGCGTTCCTACACGAGTAATATTTCACGAAATTTGTGTTAATTTTAATTTTATGCTTGCGGCACTGGCGTAGTAGCCTGCTGCAGCTGGTTGTTGAAATTCTGCGAAGCCTGCACGGCCATGTCGATCGCCTGCTTGGTCAGCTTGGCGATGCCCTCCTGAACCTTGCTGGAATTCTCATTGATGGTCTTGGCGACGTTCTCCGATTCCGTCACGATAGTCTGGACACCCTCTTGGAACTTGGTACGCAATTGATTCACCTGTTCCGACGTCTCAGGATTGACATTTAGATTGTCGACCGCTTCGGATAGCCTGGTCTTCATGTTTGCCCAAATAGTCTCCAATTCGGGGCTTTTGGCCTTGATCTGGAAACGATCCACCATGCGTGCGTACAGCCAGTTTGTCTCGAATCTCAGAGAAGCGAAGGGTGTTTGTTTCAGAAAATGTCCAAGTATTGGGAAATTTGAAACTCAATTAAATCCGCACGCGGACGATAGGCAAGGGTGTACTCCGATTCTTATCGGAGAACGGTAGGCAAAGGAATTTGCACGTTCCGTAAATTTACAAAGAATTTCGCGCGATGACTCGTTCGATATACCCGTACTACAAATTAAAATTTATCTCAATTATTGCGATAAGTTACATTAAGCTTTTATGTAACAGTAACATTTGATGCATCTTGTTTTTCTTTTATTTTTATTTGGCGGCAACGGAACACACGTAACTCGCGCGCGCCTTAATTATGTTAAATTTTCTTCTATTTGTTCCACTTTTTGTCCATTTTTGCCGCACTACTAACGGGATCGTTCAACTCGAGCAATCTCAAGTGCGCGCGCGAGTGTACCTAGAGCTATTCGTGACAATTTATGGACATTTTCCACGAAAAAAGGCACACGTATATCGAGGTCGTACATTTAGGATCAGCAGGTTTTGTCTTCCACAAGTATAAGAAAAATGATAAGAACACGTATTGGCGTTTGTTATTTATCGTTATCGACTTGTTAGTAATTTTATTTTTATATACATAGGCATTGTACTATAATAATTGATTATGATTATTCTCGCTGTATCGTGCAACGTATCGATATCAACGATTTTAGAACCTCTTTAGAACTTGAAATTGCTTTCGACATCGGTCAATTTGCGTCGATTGTTTCTTTGCGGTTTGATTTAAGTTGAATCGACAAGCCAAATGGCTTTCCTCTTGCTAGTTGTTTGCTCAGAGAGTAAGTAATCCTCCACGTGGAGAATAGACGATGTGGCCATGTTCTTTTATGTCTAATTTTGAAAATAATCTTTAGATCCCTAGGTACTAGAGGTAGCGCGACGATACTGCAAACAAATAAGCCAGTCTTTAATCTCCATTTATGGACCATGTGTATGCGCAATGCACAAGAGTGAGAACATGTCAAACGATCGAGGATCGAGAAATGTCGGTAGGCAGATTACACTTGGAGCCAAGTATGCTGACCCAACAAGTTGCAAGGAAACACATTTCATCTTGCCAAGTGTTAGAAAAATAAGTGTATGCAGGTATGTGTGTGTGTGTGTGTGTGTAGTCAAATATTCGTGCTCACCTCGTCAGTCATGTTCTGCATGTACGCCTGAATATTGGTGGCCAGGTTGTTGCTCTGCTCCTTCATGGTGTTGAAGAATTCCTCTTGGTTGGGCAAGTTTTGCTGAAGCTGAGCGCCGAAGTTGTTGATGGCATTTTGGGCCTCTTTGATGTAGTCGGACAATTGAAGGGGTTGCGTACCAGTCTGCTGACTCTCGACATCGCTAGCCGGCACCACCTTGCTCTCCGTCGCGACCAAGAGGACGGCTAGGATAACCGCGGGTAAGCACTTCATCTCACGCTGATATTTTCTCCTTGGTCGATTAGGAAAATGACTGATGCGTAGAACGGAGAATCGCACTCCCTTTTATAGGCGTTTCTTATCGACTCAGGGGCAAAGTGCTTATTATCTCACTTGGACGACAATGACCTGCGTTTCTCTCGCTGCATAGAAGGCCACACTGTATTTAAATCTTGGAAATCGAAACTTGGAATTCTTATAAATTCGTTCGTTTCAGTATTTCGATGTTCAAAGCAACGGAACAGAATTTGTAAAATAAAGAATTAGAATGTGTTACCGTACATTATTATATTTACTGCCCACACAGCAAAACAAGTTTCAGAAAGCTTTCCGAAAGATAACTTGGAAA